GTCCGGATAGTTTTATTCATTTTGATGACATTTATGGAAGTACATGAGGGTGGTTTGCATGTGATATTGACGCCGCTCAGGTGGGGCACAGCGCGGCAGCGGCGTTACTATGTATGAAGCTAAGTTAATTTAGAGTTAGAATAACTAAGGGGTGATAACTTGTTGATATGAGTGCAATAATTCCAAAGAATGCCCAAAAGATAAACTAAAATCTCTGTCCTTTTTGCTGCCCTGACTGTGCTGCCGCCCTAGTCGGCTGCCTAGTTCGCCTATATGCACGCGCTGGCCCTGGTTTCACGAGAGAGACCGGAAGGTTGCCGCTTGGTTTAAACCTTTTGTAGGAATCAATCTACTGTACGTTGTTGGGTTTGAAGAACTTTTCAACTTTTTTTTCTAATTTTATTTTATAAATGTACATTCATAAATACAAAAATACATGTCTGCTGATCCTGAAATCACTGATAGGGCTAAACAGGCTCTCAAAGTTTGGTTACATGTATATAAAAAAAAAAAAGATTGCACATAAGGCCTGATATCATACTTAACCGGTTCATAATTCAACAACATACCCACACTGCGCAAACAGTCAGAATTGCATCATAATGTTGGGAGATGCAGCTCTATTTCATCTAGAACTTGAAAGCTCATCTTTACTCTTCAGGCATAATGTCATGGGAAAACATTCACTGGATCCTGTCTGTTTATCAGTTCCCACACTATGTTGGCATCTTGTTTTCTTGAGGAGGTGAAGTTCATGCTAAATCTCAGATGAATGGAAAGAATAATCTGATTCTCACAGTCCTCTTAAGAATTTTCCACAGAAACAGTTCAGCTGTCACAGAGTCTGCCAAATAAATCTCTCTTCATTGCTCTTCTTTACTAACTGTCACTTCATGTGTCCCAGATGGTATTGGTGAACTTTTGTGGTGTTCATTCTCCTCTCCCCCCTTCTGACCTCTGCATTTGACCCATACGCACACAAGCAGACCACTGTAGTGCTTCCGGAAAGCTGGATCACAGCAAGCATACAGCAGAGGGTTTAAACAGCTGTTCACATAGCCCAGACAGATGGAGTATGGATGGGCCGCCACCAACCACTGGTCGAAACTGCAGGAAAAGGGAAGAATGCCCAGTTCCACCATAGCGGATAGTGTCTTATTGGTGTGGAAGGGAAGCCAGCAGAGGAAGAAGGCCAGCACAAGGGTGATGATGATCCGGAGGAGCCTGCGTTGGCGCGTATGATCAGGACGCGGGCCTAGGCTGAAGTGTCGGGAAAGAAGCCGCCCTAGCCAGCCATAGCAGAGCAGGAGCACTACAAGAGGTAACAGGAAGCCAAGCAGAGTTGATTTTAACCCCAAAGCTGCTGACCACATCAGCTCCGCCTGTTCCGAAGCTGCTGGGTCCAGCTCACTTGAGATCAAGTTGGAGTAGTCCATGTCACATAAGCAGGAGGACACATGTCCGTCCTGCCCATCGCCATCATCTCCCTCTTCCAAATCCACCTCCCTAACAGTCCGCAGAAGCAGAGCAGGAAGTGCCAGGATTCCAGCCGCCAGCCACACGCTACCCACAATCCACTTGGCGCAAGTGGTTGACCGTCCCTGCTTTGAGCTGCTGCCACACTTTTGTGTGATGACGCAGTAACGCTCCACGCTGAGCCCAGTCAGAGAAAACACACTCGCATACATGTTCAGTGCCACAATGTAACTGCTCACCTGACACAGAACATGGCCAAAGGGCCAGTGGTAGCCCAGCGCTGTGTATGCCGCCCACAATGGCAGGGTCATGACGAAGGCCAGGTCAGCCAATGCTAGACTGGCTATTAAAGACTCGGTTACTGTACGAGAAGATGTAGGGGAGGGATAAGGAGGGGGATCGGTGGTCTGGGAAGATTTGGAACCGCTTCCAATCCTCCCGCGGCCTCTCGCTCGGCGGTCCATGTACACCCATAGCACCAAGCCATTACCCAGGGAGCCCACGACAAACGCCAGGAGGTACACGCTCGGAATCAGCACCCAGGTTGCAGACCATTCTCTGTAGTCACATGAGGGAAAGGGCGAGGGTGAAGGGAAGGGCGGAGACCCGGACATCTGAGAGCCACACACTTGCACCTAGTGCAGAGAGCAAGTGGATGATATGAGCAGGAAAGAGAACTGAGAGTTTCTTTTAAGGGCTTGAGAGGGGAAGAATGGTTTGGAAGAAGAATGATGATGGGAGCACTTGTCTTTCCCCTGTATTCTATATTTGGGAGTTTCCCACGATAGTTGGAAGAGTCAGTGACACTTCCTTCCTCCTCTGTCCTTGTCAATTTCTGTGGGATATCACAGACAAAAGAAAAAAGGTTATTGGAAGCTGTGCATTAAAAACAGATGAGAAAGAACTTCTCATAATTTCTGGTTGTATCATATACATTCTCAACCCCTAAATAACCAGCTTATACACTGCCTGGCCAAAAACAGTTGCACCTGCTTTTGCTGGATAGCCTTCAGCTTTCGCTCTGCATTCGTTGTGGCATTGTTTCAACAATTATTTCCATCAAGGGTTACATACATTTTTGGCTGAGATCTTGTTGACAGTAGGAGAATCCAACCACTCTAAGTCTAATTCAGTATACCCCAGAGACTTTCAGTAGGGTTAAAGTCTCTTCTCATGATTTCTCTTTCACAATTTGAGCCCGATGAATCTTGACATTGTCGACTTGGAATATGGCCATAGGATACTTATGCTGATGTGGTTGTTTAACAAATATCATCAGGTAGGGTTAAAATAACTTTTGTCAAACACATAACATGCCAGAATTGGAAGTATTTGCTTATTTAAATACACAGTGAATTTTTTTTTTTTACCCGGCAGAGTATGTTATACTTGGACATAGATAATCCACATCAGTAAATACATGCACTTCCAGTAATAATTCTGCAATAAAAAATAAATAAAAGTAAAGTAATTGCATCTCATTCTCTCTTTTGTGTATTAATCTAGTGATGTACATACTACATATACAAGAAAAACTGTAATAAAATCTATCCCACAAAAGCAATGCTTCTCTATCATGCCTCAGGTGGACATCCACCATGAACCAAATGATCTCATACCTGTTTTTCTTAAGAGTTTGCCTCTGCTTCTGTTAATACATGTGCCCAGTGTTCTCTTCTCTGTGGTTGGTCTCGCTCTGTTTTTAGATGATCTTTTTAAAAGGACACAAGTTACTATGTATTCATGGTTTTCTCTTGATATCTGTCGACTTCTTCCCTCTCTCAGAATCGAATGCTTCTTTCTGTGTCTCACCTACTGGGAAGTGTCTGCTCTTTAAAGACCATCTCCTCTTTGTGTCCTTTCCCTTTTCTGTTCTGTCCTCCTCCTCTCTCATAGGACCACCCTGTAGCAGTTTTGTGAGATCTCCAAACAGTCCCTCTGCTCTTAAACAGACTGAGTAAACTCAGAACACCTCAGGCTTGAAAGAAGCTTTATACACATAATAATGTCTTTCACTGTAGCAAACAGCATACCTCTGGCCAACACTACCACTTCATACACAAGGTTGTATTAGCAAATATAGTATGCATTCTTACAAATAATGGGTTACTTGAGAAACTTTGGGAGAAGTTCAAAGAATACAAATCACAGAGGAACTTATATAGGAACTAACTACAAGTTTATAATTTTCTAAGTCTTATTTCTGACTGCTTCTTCCAAAATTGGTCTGGACAAGAGATTTTGGTATGGTGGGTTGCAGAAAATAAACAATAAACTTGCCATATCAAACATGGCAAAATTAACGTGAAATGTGATGTTCATATATTTGGAAACATATTTTAGATTATAACAGATCATCTTATAAATATTCGGTCTCACATTATAATATACAATTATGTGAACTGTTCACCTGCCTCTGTTTAACTAATAAATTCATTGTGTTGGTTGTATTTGGTCTTAGCTGCATGTCTGAGGTCCTGTTTGAACTATTTGAGCAGTCTGAGTCTTGTGTTGTTTAAACACTTTTATTAGCAGTGGAAGAAGCAGATGAAATTTCCTGTTTGCATCTCTATTTGAACTAGTCTAGACCAATTATTTAATAAAACAAAAAAACACTGAGCCAGTGGGAGGCCCACCCTAAAGATTTTGTCCTGTGACGGTCCAGGGGCCTCATTTATAAAACGTGTGTACACACAGATTTGATCTTAGAGCGTGCGTACACTAAAATCTACGGCAACGTTCATATTTATAAAAACGGTCTTTGACGTGGTAAAATACTTAGTCACGTCAGGGTCTGAGCAGGCGTACGCACTTTTCCTTGTGGCAAAGTCGGAGTACTGCAGCTATTTGAACATCTAAGCTGCAATAATAATAAAAGCGGTGTATATACGTGCAAGCACCGAATTCATCATAAACAACAAAGATGCAGAGTAAGAGATTAATTGTGCAGTGTAGTCAGATTTTATTAACGGGAGTTTTTGCAAGGTTAAACTGACCTTTTTAGTAGCCTAATGTTGAGAGTTCTTTACTCGCTTTCTGTACACAGTTTATTCCATGTTTTTTTATTATTTTATTTTACAAGAGAACTTGCGAAGTCTTGGTTTACTAGTAATGCGTAAAATAGAAAAAATGAATGAAACGCGTCTCCGACTGTTTTGTCTGTGTAGCCTATAAGTATAGGCCTATGTCGTGCAATAACGGTTTTAATATATTTCTTTGTGCTCATCATTCTAAAGCATAGAAATTCGTCTGTTGGCGTGTGCTCTTTATATGGTAATGATATTAATTAGGGGGCGTTTACAAGGCAGGGATCTGACACCAGTCAGCTGCGCACAATTTCAAGATCATTTGCGATTTATAAATGTCACATCTGGAAGAGCGGCGTACGCACGTGTTTTTGTGTGCACGTTCATTTTCTCTGAATTTACTCTGAATTACGCACTTTTGAGAAATGATCTTAGAACAAATTTAGGACGGTTTATACGCAACATTTTATAAATGAGGCCCCTGGTTACTGCATAACATATACAGGTATATGTAGAATATACACTTCACACTAGCCACTCAGTGCCAGAGAGATGTTCACAGATTTTTCTATCTTGTTCCCAATTGATCTCAGCTGTACAAATAGTGAGGGTCTATAAAAAGGTCCTGAGGTCAATATGTATGACATGAGTTAAACACTCTGTTTGCAAAGCACTGGGTCAAACTATAAATTGTACATAAGCAGAACTATGTACCATCTCTTGCATCAGTGTCCAATAACTCCAGCCAGAAAATAACTGATAGACCATATTTATGCATTTTAGAGCCATGCATAATTGGAGATGTACAGATATTAAGTGGTACAAGATAAGTTCCTATTTTTAAAATAGCATGCAATATAAATAATTGTGTATAACTGTAACCTACTTTATATTTGCATGCCTTTAATTCTATATGTATTAGAAAATATTAAGCATTCCTCAAAATTAATTTGATATTTGCAATGCCCTCAGCATGAATTCAGATCTTTTATGTTTGATAATGTTTTTCACCATCAAAATGCAACAATCCATTATAAAATGAAACATGCCCATAAAAAAAGTGTTTAGAAAAATTAGAAAAAGGAAATATTTGAAATCGCAGCATATTCTGTGAGACGAATCTATTTCGATTTGATTAAATCTCTTAAGAAATTTGCCTAAATCTGAATGTAACAACAGTTGCAGATACATAATGATACCCAAACAATACCCAACACACTATTCATATTTAACATACAGTATCCCTTTTCTTATTCACATTCATCTGCATAATTGCATCTGTAGTTGAACTATATATACATATTCACGTATTAAATTTTTTTATTATCTTTTATTATCAGTCTGGGCAGACATTCCATAAATAAGGAATAGTTTATGTCACTTTTAAAGCAATAAAGGGAACGGCCAAAAAACATTTATTTACGTTATTTTGACAGAGAACTATTAATTATATTAATTAACTCCAGAAAAAAAAAATCCTGAAACAAAGCGCATAAATAATAGTTATAAATAATGGGGTGCTGCAGTGATACTTGTTAGTCATGGCTGTTAAAGACCCTATGGCTGAATCCTTTTACTATGGGTTTTTCTAATGGTTAAGTGGTTAACATTAGCTGAAGAGACATCACATTTTGTTTTACAACATAAATTACACACTAAACAGCTCCAGCATAGTAAGTTGCCAATAAACAGCTATAAGGAATCATTGTAAATATTAAACAGAATTCTCAAACTCTCAATTTGCATAAAACTGCATGTTCCTTTTATTGGTCACATAAAGGTTCAGTAAGTTTCGCTGGCTATAGTGGTAACAAGAAGCTAATCAGCACACTGAAAAGACTACATTTCTACATATTGCACGCAATGTTTTTCAAGAGATTTTAAGTTTTAAAAGAGACATTCGTAAACAAGGCAGAGGAAAAGCAGGCGTAAAGGGTTTTTATGAAAATGACGATGATATGATACATTAACCCTTTGAAAATGTCAGCATCCCTCGTAACCCACTCACTCGTACCACTTTTCTGGGTAACAGGATTAGCCGTGAAAGAGTACACATACATAAAGCAGCACTGAATACAATAAATTATAATCAGATGGTTTCCCTTTCACTATTAAGTGAAAAACAAAAAAAATGCAAGCTTTAGCAGTGAGCACACACAGTTTTAACGTACAGCTGAGATTTAAGCTGTGAATGCTTCTTTGACCACTTAACTCAAGATATAGAAGATCTCTGCATTCTCACTGCATGATACCACTACCAGCTTTACGAGGAACAATGCAGAAGCGTTTTAGAGAACACCCCACCAGAAGAGTGCTAGTGAGAGCAGTATTCCCACCACAGAGCGGCTGGACACGGACACAGGTGCTGTGTTACACAGGTCAGTGGTACAGCAGGAGAACTTGAAGCTGGACATTTTGGGAAATTTCTCGCCGATTGCATCGTAGTTACAATCGGAGTACTTTATACACTGCCTGTATGTGTCACCACCTAGAAGAAAAGGGGGTTAACAGAGAGATATGTCATGCAAAGTCAAAGGGTCATGGAAATGGTTTGTTAGAATACAGAAAGACACTATTTTCTAAGAATGAGTGAGCTGGCACCTCTCTCGTTGACGGACACACAGGCATCATCATAGTAGCAGTTTCGAATTTTAGAGCATGTGCCAGTGTAGTCCTTACAACTGTAACATTTAATGGCAGAGCCTTAAAAGACAAAGACAGAGATACATTTTTTTGCAAGAATAGTAATGCAAAATATGACAAAAACACATCTTATGCATGGTGCAAACATACCAAGCCCCACCAGAGCCAGAACGAACACCACACACACTCCAACAGAAGCTTTCATAATGCCTTCGGTTTACCAGTCTAATCCTGATAAAGAGAGAGAGAGAGGAATCTGAGTAACGTACAATTTGAATTTGTCTGAATGTGACTGCATGATATGTTCATTCACAATTTAGATTTAAAAATCAAATTCATCCAAAATTTCATTCATAAATTTGTAGACTGATCTCAAACTTTAGACTTGTAACAGGTTAATGCATAAACACCAAGCCTGTAGTTGCTTCTTACCATCAGTTTGTTCCAAAACTGTGTGACTTTCTTTCTTCTGTGGAACATAATGGTGTTTGGTGAGTCAACCATCACCAAAACTGTTTGGTTACCATTATTCTTCAAAAAATTGTATGCATGTATGTATTTATTTGTTTGTTCATTCGTTTGTTTGTTTGTACCGTAGAAGTAACAGAATCACACAGGTTTGGAACCACATGATGATGAGCATATGAAGACAATTTTGACATTTTTTAAAAAGATTAACTAACATAATTATAAGAGAAAGAATTGTGGGTCATCTAAGGAGTACATAGATTTGCTGAGATACATCCCGTTTTGACCGATTATCTGGCCTGTATTAAGCTATCTACTACTATTATTACTGCAACTACGACCACAACTATTATTGTTGTTCACTTGTTATTTTACATAATCATTAAGCTTTAGACATTATTAAATCTATTATGTTGTATTATTTGTCTTTTGAACTTCATTCTGAACATGTCAGCCTTTTATCAACATCCTGGATCTTGAATCATAAAAATACAATATATATTATACATAACATATGTTTAATTTATGGCATAACACTTGCCACAATGTTACATTCATAAAAAAAACAATAACAATAAAAACAAATAAATATGAACATTAAGAACATTTTAACCTTTTCTGACTGTTGACCCGTTCCTGTTGATCAGCACGCCTGACTTTATGCTACATGCACATACGCTCAGTTCCTCTTGAAGATTTTTTTCCTTCTTATAAAATGCCGAAGCAGTATAAGTTACATTCTTATGTATATGCAATTTTTCAAAAACAATTAATTTGACCACACATCTCGTTCAGGCTTCAGCAGACAGTGGCTTAGCAAATGGCCCATGATTGGACACAGGGTCACACAAGGATTCATTCTGCTGTAGCACAAGAACAGCTGAAATATGTGAGGCTGTCAGCAACGAACACACATGATCAAAATGAATCATCTTGAACCATAAAAATACAAATATATTATACATAACATATGTTTAATTTATGACATAACACTTGCCACAGTGTGACATTTATAAAAAAAAATTAAATAATAAAAAACGAATAAATATGCTTGTTCTGATAACACAATTTAACCTTTAAGTTAAAATTGAACTTTACAATATACTTAATATACTGCCATTAATGTACACCAGTGTTTTATTGTTTACCCAACAACTTCATTCATATTATATTTTCGGTAGGATTCACAAAAATAAATAAATAAATATGTCAGCAACGAACACACATGATCAAAATGAATCATCTTGAACCATAAAAATACAATATATATTATACATAACATATGTTTAATTTATGGCATAACACTTGCCACAGTGTGACATTTATAAAAAAAAATTTAATAATAAAAAACGAATAAATATGCTTGTTCTGATAACACAATTTAACCTTTAAGTTAAAATTAAACTTTACAATATACTTGATATACTGCCATTAATGTACACCAGTGTTTTATTGTTTACCCAACAACTTCATTTAAATTATATTTTCGGTAGGATTCACAAAAATAAATAAATAAATACAAATAAATAATAATAATAATAAAAAATATGTTTGGAGAGATAACCAACTACAAAAAGACAATAATTTATTTGACTCTCTGACCCCGTGACAGCTCGTCTCCCTTTCATGAAATTATGGATTGATTTTCTTTTCAGAATCTATAGTATTCATAAAACTGAAACCAATGACTACCTTAAATCAAATGTCACATTTTATCATAATTTTCTACCATAACCTCAGAAAAAAAACAGTGTGTCCCTGGAAAAGTCAGTATATTTAATGCTTTATAGTTTTTAAAAGTTGTAAAAATGCAATCTAAATCAGCCTGGTTCACAAGCACAGAATATACTAAGCAGTATGCCATAATCTCTCAGTTACTCTTCTGTAGTCTTACCCCAGTGTGAAGAAGGAATCCAACCACAGACACATCCAAACCAGTCTGAAAACTGGAGAGCTCGAGCCACTTACACTTTCCTAAACACGCCCACAATGCTCTTTCAATGAATCTTTTGTGCTTTCATTGTATACCATTCTACTGTCCTAAAATATTGAAAATAAATTATCGGGTATTGTGTGTTCATTTTATTTTAAGAGATAAAAAGAATAAATAATATTGCTATAACAATTCATCATTAAAAGAATTGATTAATCACAGCTACAGCTGTACATTAGAGTCAGGGACAGGTCACCCTAAAACTGAGCTATTCTGTAGTACAATATTAATAGTGTCATTGTGATTTCTGTAACTGTTGAATTCCATTGCTATTCTGTTCTTACGAATGAACCTGCAACCTTTTCTATAATATTTACTCAGTATCCTGAGTAAAGCTGAATATTAAAGATTTCTATTCCTCAGCTTAATCAATATACTAAGAGAGAAAATCCCATTGTTCAACATACATGTACAATGTTTATATTCTTTCTTGCATAAACAAGACACATTACTTTCATGTCATTCGTCTCTCTTAACAATTCTTGTTTTTAACCTTTTCTGACGGTTGACCCATTCCTGTTGATCAGCACGCCTGACTTTATGCTACATGCACATACGCTCAGGTCCTCTTGAAGATTTTTTTTCCTTCTTATAAAATGCTGAAGCAGTATAAGAGTTACATTCTTATGTATATGCAATTTTTTTTAAAACACAATTTGACCACACATCTAGTTCAGGCTTCAGCAGACAGTGGCTTAGTAAATGGCCCATTATTGGACACAGGGTCACACAAGGATTCATTCTGCTGTAGCACAAGAACAGCTGAAATATGTGAGGCTGTCAGCAACGAACACACATGATCAAAATCACTCACATGTAGGCATAAAGGACCATTAAATATACACTGGTGTGCAACGAAATGTGATTTGAAGTGATCTGGCATGAAAAGCCTACATGTCTGATGTATTGGCCCTAGTGTGTGGGCACTTCAAAATGAATTGTTTGTCAAAGTACTTAAGTTATGTTACAGAAATTTAGCATTTTCTCTCTTCCAGAATAGTTGAAATGAATGAGTAAAGAGATGGGAGGAGATGTGTGCCAAAAAACAAAACGGCTTAACAAAGAAACATCAGTCTGACCACAACAAGGCCTCTTCAACATGTTGCCATGACAACTGAAACTATCGGGGTGGGTTCGGGTTAGGGTTTGGGTCGCAGTGATAGAAATGACTAAGTTTTGTGTTGTGAGAACAATAAGTGTTTTCAGAGATATTCCAGAGCATGAGACAATAGCACTGAGACTGGCTGGTGAAAAATAGATCAACGGCCTCTTTGTGCTGAGATAGTAGAAAGCATCCTGATCACAACAAAAATGTAAACAAACAATGTAGTAGTGAAACACGGTATTGATACACCATTACCTTTTTATTTACTCCAAATAAAAATAAACCCTCACACATACAAAATAAAAAACCAGGAGTTATTAACTAATCTGAGAGGTTCAATAGGCCTAAACAGAACATAATAGTAAACTGTTGAAAAATCTCACTGCACAGCATTATTTTACAAAGATGATAACATATAATTGCAGTCATAAATGAAAATCTAAATCGTACATATCTCTAGGCAAGATTAGCTCACATTCCCATTAGGAAGGGAAAAGGAAGAAAAAAGCAGAGAAATTCTTAAAGTCTGCCTAGATTTCATTCTGAAAAACTGAACTGTACAACAAAGACATTTTTCTGATCATTTACCTCTTGCACAGGATTTAAAGAAGAAAAATGTGAAAAGTCACAATAATGCCATAAACTTCTCATTAAATTATCTTATTTTGTTATTCACACCAGTCTGTGTAACCTCAAGCCCTTAAGATAATCAGAGCTAAAAAGATCCTTTACACTACATAAATGTATTCTGGCTGACCTTCAGTTTACATCCATCCAGCGTTTCTGAGAACAGGCCAAAAGCACCTGTGAACACCTCTGAACTAGTAGAGAACTAGAGCAAGTAACTAAACTAAAAAAAAAAAGGTAAATAATTGCTTGAACAGGTTAGCTGATGTTTGCATGAACTGGCTTGTCTGGGTCTATGTGCTTTTTACTCCTCTTTAAATAAATCAGTCTCACTTCACAAGATCTGGACCTCAGCCTGTCCCCGAAATCCTTAGTACAGACAACACAAGAACAAACATGTATGCACAAGCACATACACGCTACACAATACCTGAGGCCTTGTGGAGGAAATCAAGGGGATCAATTTATTTGAGCCTTTCTGTTACGTATTCAATCTATATATATATATATATATATATAAATAAACACACACAGTGATACAGTGTGTGTGTACTTTTCTGCTAATTGTAGTGTCATAATTTCTCCTTGTGCTCTGTAATTGTAAGGATTTAAAGGGATAGTTCAAGCAAAAATAAATATTTTGTCACCATGTCGTCCCAAACCTGTATGATTGTCTTACTTCTGTCGAACATGTCTTTTGTCTGTTTTTGAACAATAAGTCCAAAACAACACTGGACTCCACTTTCACTGCATGGACAAAATATACTCAAATATTATTTTGTGTTCCACAGGAGACAGAAAGACATACAGGTTTGGAACGACATAAAGATGAGTACATTTCAATTTTTGGCTGAACTATTTCTTTAGCTAAGTGGCAGGTCATTGTGAAACCCAGGCAAGAAGAGCCAGTCTCACAGAATCTCACACACATTCAATAAACTCCCTCTCTCTGAATCACAAAACACACTTGCAGTCTCAAACACACGTACAATGATCTCACACGTCCACAGACACAGATATGCCACAACCAGACACATGCCCTCAGAAACTGGAGAAAACGTTCAAGAGGTGACAGGCACAAGAGCGCTGTACAATAAACAATGGATGCCTAAAAGCTCTGTTTGTCCTCCTGCTCTCCTGTTTGTGTGAGTGTGTCTGTGCGTCAGTATCTGTGGGCGGGTGTTGGCCGGGGACATGTAAAAGTGCATCAGACATGCCGAGGGCAGCGTCCTCCTGGGTCAGCCATGTTCATGCCACGCATGTCTCCCTCCTCGTAGTCATCTGTGTCCGATGAGTTCTCCTCATCATAAGGAGCAGACACCTCACTGACTGAGCTCTAAATGAGGGAGACAAACACAGAATGAGGGAGTTAAAATGACAAATGTACACACATTAGCATCCTGGATATTCGTTTTTCTTGGACATTACAGAAAGACATAAATAGCGACTTACCGACCGCACCATTGATTCACGGAAAGGTGGGCACACCATGTGGAAGCGTGGGATTGAAACGTCAAACACTTCCTCTTTGTTCTTGAGCCGGTGGAATGTGTAGTGGCCTTCCATGTACTCGGAGGTGGTGGAAAATGTGGTGCAGCTGGCGTATTCGTGAACTTTACCGGGTGTCATCACTGGAAACTCGCCTGCATGTTCATCATAAGCAAAAAACAGATGCAGGACATTCTTTAGAAAGTAGAGTAGCTGTAACAATGAATTACATGGACAGAAAGATACTGTTAGGCTGATGATACATGGGACAACTTTTTTTAACAATATTACTTGAGCACTTTCACATTGAGAACGGGTAACAAATTTCTATCTGGATATTTTAGATCGGTTGTAGGCCCTGTGTTTCACCTAGTTGCCCGTTGACGGAAACATTGCTCAAAAAGTTGCCCTGTGTATCATCAGACTCAGAATGTCCTATCTTGATAATTCTGTTACCAATGCAGACTGTTCTGATTTACTCTTAGCTTACAGGGATGTGCTCTTACCCACAACACCAGGGCCACGGACCTCCTCCACATTTCCGTTTGCATTTGTGATCTTCCAGTACCGACTGTCTAGCTGGCATGCATTCTCTGGCAGGGCCGACTTTGCCATTTCAATCCTGATGCATAAGATGGTACAGCTCATTGTATCATCAAATGTCAGGTCTTAGTACAGCTGTGTTGCATTATAGCAAGTTACAGCAGAAAGCAGCTCGATCATTTTAGTAAGAACTATGTGTACAAATTAAGCACTGAGATCTCTACTTTTTGGTAAGACACTGAGAGAATAAACAGAGGAATTGTGCCACATGTGTGATATGTATCGTCTATGATAATAACGAAATTGATTTAACAATGTCACTCGTTTTGCAAAAATCAAACAAAAACTCGCCTTTCACAATGTGATATTTAACGCCAGTAGAATGCCTTTTTGTCTTATATTTACACCAAAAGATATAGTCGTTTGCATTTGTGATCTTCCAGTACCGACTGTCTAGCTGGCATGCATTCTCTGGCAGGGCCGACTTTGCCATTTCAATCCTGATGCATAAGATGGTACAGCTCATTGTATCATCAAATGTCAGGTCTTAGTACAGCTGTGTTGCATTATAGCAAGTTACAGCAGAAAGCAGCTCGATCATTTTAGTAAGAACTATGTGTACAAATTAAGCACTGAGATCTCTACTTTTTGGTAAGACACTGAGAGAATAAACAGAGGAATTGTGCCACATGTGTGATATGTATCGTCTATGATAATAACGAAATTGATTTAACAATGTCACTCGTTTTGCAAAAATCAAACAAAAACTCGCCTTTCACAATGTGATATTTAACGCCAGTAGAATGCCTTTTTGTCTTATATTTACACCAAAAGATATAGTTAAGCAATATCATATGAACAACAGTGCTGTTCTCTACCAAATAAAAGCACAATTGCAAAAGTCATAGTGAATTTATAAAGTAGTTAAATAAATACTGTACGTTACAATTTAGACACAATTAAATAACTGAAACAACAGGCAGAACTGTTTTGCTTTTCAGAGTAGCGCATATCGGTGCTTCATTACTGAATGAATCCACATAGAGAATGATCAGTTTAATGAATCAGCTATTTGAACAAAGTTTAATGAATGATTCAATGACTGAATTAATTAGCCGTTTAAACAAACCATTGAAATTACTTAATGAAACAACTCATTAAGACAGTGACTTGCTGGTAACTGGTAGTTAAATATACAATTAAACACATAGCATTGTTTTTGCTATTGTAAATTTATTTAACCTTTGTGCGTCCCTCCCGTACCTGTAACAAAAGTGTCCCTCGCGGGTCAAAATAACCCGAAGGCTTAAAATGACACTAATTTTTATTTTAGTCCAGAAATCTCATTTTGATCAATTTTTATACTTTTTTCTAATTATTTATGTAGGGTTTTTTTATTATTTTTTGGTGATTTTTATTTTATGTACCTTAAATTCTGGATATTTCTAAGAAAATATGAGCAAATAAGCAATTTTGTCACAGTATTTCAGCAAAGAAAAAAAAAAGACAATTCCAGTCCCTTTTCATCAAAAACCTGCAGATGAACTTGGAATGAGGTCACTGAGCCTT